TGATGTCAGCCTTTATTTTTACGAGGACATCAACCAGCTGGGCAGCGACACCTTCCCAATTAAGGGACCGGACATTAAAGGTGCATGCTCTCAATTCGTAGTCCTTATTTCAGTTGCCATGGTGTCATCAAAAGTGGGGTCCCTCATCCGAGGCTGTTGTTGCTTTTTCATTGGGTTATTTTTTTTTACGTGGCGGGTCCCAAACCCAGCGCACAACCCTATGCAGGGAAATCGCTTTCTCACTTTAGCTCGCCTTCAAACGGATGTTCTTAGGCTACCCAGAGGATACTTGGTCAAGGACCGGAAGTCGTGAGCTGCTTGAGTCATATGTAAAAGAATCGTTTCTGGCCACTCCCAAGTGAATGGCGATCAGAAAACTCTCCTCACTTGCGTGAACTTCTACACATCCTCCCTAAGTATATTCTACAACATATATATCCGACAACATATTTTTAATTTTATAAGATAACTCACACACTGACCGACTTATTCGGTATTGTAACTAAAATGCAAAATATTTAATTATTCAGAAATATTTATTTTGTTGTCAACGATTTTTCCAGTCCTCGAAACACTTTTTACAAGCACTTTTGATTCCACGGAGCGGCAATTTCAGTTTGGGTAAGAAAAAAAATCACACGGAGCCAAATCTGGTGCATACCGTAGTTGGTCGATGGTATTCATTGAAAAAAAAAATTTGTTTATGTTACCTTAAGTTTTTAGTGGCTTTGGCATGTTTTTTTTGGTCGAAAGTTGTTCAGAACGAGACATATCTTTATCAATCTATTATCGACCGTCTTTGCTGGCTTTGTACAACTCGTAGGCTTGTGTTTGAATCACCGTTAGCTTTTTCTACACTTTGGACGCACATTAAATTTGGTTAGAAATTTCGAGAAAAATTCTATGTTCGATATTTTTATCCATTCTAAATATCGCAACGTACTACCGAGGTGCATCGACTTAAGCAGCTGCTATAAACAAACTGGTTGGCAGATCGAGTTCATATTTGGCATAGTAATTAGGGAGAGTCCAACCAACACTATTTTATACTCTTGCAGCGAGTTACTACAGATCATTATAGTTTTGTTCACACAACGGTTGAACGCATCACCTAAAACTTAGCGAGATAGATATAGGGTTATATATACAATATATATTATAAATGATCGGAATGATGAGAAAATTTGAAATCCGGTTGACTCTCTGTCTGTCCGTCTGTCCGTGAGTAAAAATTGAGATATCTCGATGAAACTTGGTATGTGGGTTCCTTAGATACATACTCAAATGTGAAAGTTTTCCATACAAGAACTTGATTCCGATCGTTCAGTTTATATGACAGCTATATGTTATAGTGTGCCGATATTGGCCGCTTCGACAAATGAGCAGCTTCTTGAAGGGAAAATGACGTTTGCAAAATTTCAAAAGGATAACTTAAAAACTGAAGGATTAGTTCGTATATATACARAYRGACGGACGGACAGACAGACAGACGGACATGGGTAAATCGACTCAGCTCAACATACTGATCATTTATATATATACTTTATAGGGTCTCGGACGCTTCCTTCTGGGTGTTACAAACATCGTGACAAACTTAATATACCCTGTTCAGGGTATAAAAAAATTGAGTTCGTAGATGGGCGTAACCTATGAACAATTTTCTCTAATAAGTTTAATATGCACATATCTCCTAAATCACTTAAAATACAGCAAATTTGCTGAGTACAAATCTTATAAGAACTACTACCGACAGTATGAAAATGGATGAAATCGGAGGATAACTCCCATATAACGATACTGTTAAAAACTACTAAATATCTAGTACACCAGAGAAATTAAATTTTACCACTGAAATTTTATGAGAGTTGGCGTGAAAATTAGGCGATGGACGTGGCATCGCCTACTTTTAGTACGTGGAATTCTTTTTATAATCTTATGTCACATTGTGAAAATTCCACGCCTACTTCAATGAAAATTTTTCAAGCCCCAACGTACCGAATATTTAGACTTCGGTACCTATAGTTGACTTTTGATCGAAAATGTAAGTCAATATAGAAAATATATTATTGAAATTAAGGAATAATATTTTTCTTACAATGGTATGACCATCGGCCAATGTGTGAGTTATCTTAATGATAATAAGAGTGATCATATCATAAAGTAATAACAAGCATGTAAGGAAGTGTCACAATTGTACGTAACCAAACATACCGACCTAAGTTAGAAATAAGTGTGCGATTTTCGTTAAATAATTATAAATTCCAGATGATATGACAAAAATTATTATCACGGAGATTCCTTGGGGTTTAGAATAGTTACGTGCTCAATATATTGTATGTGTTGTTAACTAGATTATTTATACCTACATACCAACACAGAATTTTTCTGAATCCACGAATGCTAAAGAAAGTCTGGTGCAAGTGATATTATTTGTCTCGTATGCCGTTTGCAGATTTACAATCGCGCTCAAGGACAAGACAGATGTGTACCGGTTTCACGCAAATATTACTATTATTGGATATCCGCTGATACTATTATTTCATAATTTCGATATATTATTATTATAAAASTCTATCTAATTTATTATTCTCGCCTTGAAGCGACAATTTTCATTGAGTTCGACATACATATGCACATATTAGCAACTTTTTTCAAAACATGCAGACACATTGCAAATAATCATTATTAACCCTCGAACATAACTCAAATACGTTTTTTACAATATGTGACAAATATATAATTTGATCCCCTGGTTTGCCCTGATAACTATTAGTAAATATAATATAACTAGCGCAAATCTGCTCAGCATATACATATATATGCATACGTACACACATATGGTATGTAGATGATACAATCACACTACTTTAGTTAGTTAAGAATTTTAAATTTCAGTCGGCTTGTTTTGGGTTAAAATAAGTTTAATAATGCAAAAGCTGTAAAGATATCTTAGTTAAACATATCCTATTATAATTGGAGTCATTTTCCAACACCTAAAGCTTCGCGCTTTTATTATTTTATTGTAGTCATGCTATTTTTATGTTCTTCGACATTTACACTCATTGACACACATATCCATTATATATATATATACATATGTACACGCATAAGTAAACCATAGATCTTTAATTAAAGAACTAACAAACGAAAGTCGAGTAAAAGTGTTTCATGAATACTGATTGAAAAGTGACAGCGTGAACCGTTAAGTAATGGAAATCATAAAATAAAATAACATAAATTTTACGGAAAAACAGCACAGAGTCCCATGAGCGAAAATTTTATAAAATTATGGACAAACGGTAATTCCAACGTGTTCTTTTTGCTTAAACATATTCGCACTTGATTAAAACAATATTTAATAGAGAAAAAATATACATTTTGTATAGATTGCAGCGATTTTCCAGTTATGGTAGTTTGATTAGTTTAAGCAAAATTAAAACAAAACTTTTCGTCTGCATTCTCAGAGACGCCATACAGTGCGCATCGAACACGATATTGCTGCTGTGACCCCATCGTGCACAACAATTGGAGCAGAGATCATCCATTTATGGAAGGTTTTTAATAATAATAATAAGAAGAATATTTGTTTGAGAGTTTACAAAATCCAACTCATGCCAGAATTGAAAGCGAACGACCCTTGTGCGAATCGCTTGTTTTTCACATTTTCACAAAAAAACTGAAGTTCAGCTTTGGTTCAATAGGTACTTAACTTACAGACCTACAGCCCACGAAACAATCAATTTATTGAAGAAAACTTCATTTTAGTAAACACATAATATCTAACTGTTCTGCTACAATGATTGAGAATCATTGCTTTGAGCACATATTCCATAAAATCTGTTATAGTTTGCAGGCAATGAAACAAATAAAACTACCTTGGCCCGTCAATGGAGGTAAATATCGATTATAATGCGATTAAGAGATATGTATACGAAAGGTAAATTTGCGTTTAAATATGTATTTCAATGGTAAAAGAAATCGAGTTAGCCCTAGAAACTGACAATTAGGTAATTTGCTGTAGATTAAGTAAATAATTTGACAAATAATATGAGGCATTTGGTGAAAATGTGTCAAGGAAATTCGCCAAATTACTGTAATTGTAAGAGAGAACTGTTATCAATGGCTTTTAAGCATTTAAATATTATATTATTGGTATTATATGAATTACATAGACCGTAAATATAAACAGAAAATGTTATGATCATTCAAAGCCATTATATTTAAACTATTTCAGAGCCGATACCAAGCACATATAAAGCTTTCGTGTAAAATATTCCAAAATTATTTATCTTGTGAGAATTTTTTTTTTATGTTCAGAATCATTAGCCGTTCAAACAAGTTTTAAATATATACTATATATATGTATAGTAATATAATATTAAAAAATAGGTATACGTAGGGTAGGGTAGGGTAGATCGAAAGAACTTTTAATTTAATTTTTTCTTAGATACTGCGAAACTATAGACGGAAATGAATAAAAAAATGTGCTAAAGGTTGAGGTAATATTAATATTAACAAATGTCACTTGAAGAAATTATTTTATAGTGAAGATGAAAACGTATTCTTGTATAAAAAACAAAAAATAAAATACATTACTAATAAAAAATTATTGTCTTGTTATTTCAATCGTGGTAAATGAAAAACATAATCTCTATTAATTTATCGAATAAAAACCAAAGTTAGAAATAACATAATATTTGATCATTTTGAAGCGGCATTATTGTGTAAAATATTATTAAAATTAAACTTTTCCGATTTTTCTTTTTTTCTAATTATAAGAGAAAAAGTTTTATTTTCCTCTATATAATGATTTGTTCAAAGCCATTAAAAATCCAAACAAAACATTCCAGTCTTAATGTACATATATACATACATATGTATGTTAGATACTTACACGAAAAATATTCCTAATAATATTAAGATCTCACGCTTTTCCTGATTTTTTTTTTTTTGTAATTTTGGAACTTCTAAGGAAAAGTTAAATTGTTTTTTTGACCCACCTTAAAGTGTACACATGTTTATAAAGAGCCAAATTTTTACATTCAGATGTTGGGTTTTTGCATATGCAATATTTAGGAATGCAAATTCAAATATACATTTGCAAAGTTACTTTTTACCAACATCACTTAACAAAAAAATATAAATACTTATTACTGGTTTACATTATATAGCATTGAATTGCGGTATTTTTTTAATAACTTCACTAGATCTTACTTTCAGTTGGCACTTCTACACAGGTCTTGTTATTTAGACAGTTGTTCACTCACTGATTTATTCAGTGCCACCTTCATTAATATGAGCGCTAGCAACGTCTAAACTTGTTTCAAATGATACTACTAACAATATGAATAAAAGCCGATGCGCCTGCAACAACAAAGACGGTTAACTGCAAACAGAGAGCACGTGCACGTGCGATCACGCTCTGAAATAAGCAAATGAGAAATCTCTACAATGTCGCGTATCTGGGAGAACGCTTAAGAATTCACATGTATTTCACACACATATACATTCCGAATGCGTATATTCGAATGCCTGCTTTAAATTGAACAGTTAAACACCCAAAAATTTAGAAAAATAATTGTGAAGTTTGGGCATTAGCTTTGATGACAATGAAAATATATTCTTAAGCTGTTTGTTGCCCGCTATACAACAGTAAAAGAGCTTTAGCTTCAACCTATTATGTAGTTTTGTTTTTGCATACATAAGTATGAGTGTACGTAGCGTATACATAACCTTAAATGTTGATTTTATATCGATTAAATGTATTAGCCAGAAGCTTTGCGCAAAATATTTAATTATTAGTTTTACAATATTCCACAACTAAAAAAACCAAAAAATTGATAAACCGACATTTTTATTCAATCTGATGTGAATCCTATGGTATACGACCGAGAAATCTTTATTTCCGTACTTTGTAACTTGAAAATCGAGAAGAATGCAGTTTTTATGGTTTAAAGTAAACTTAACTAACTATTTTTTTAGGTTAATACAGTGCAAAATAGACAAATAACTGAACTGAATACCTGTATTTTGCTGATCTACCTACTAAATAATTTGAATGTTATTGCATAATTTTAGGCATATATGAAAACTAACAGAGAACGTATATTTATAGCAGAGAACGTCTATCCAGAGAACTTAAAACATAGAGAAGGCAGAGAACGTATATTTATAGCAGAGAACATCTATCATAGAGAAGGTTCACGTTTCAAATATCGTAACTTTTCGAAGGGGTACTCGGCAGAGATGGTCCAGTTTCACCACAGACAAATTATAAGCGTGTTTCACCMCGAAAATAGCAGAATTGAGCATTTTCAGTGTTAAATGAGAAAAATAATTCCAATGTTAACAAATTTACGCCTAGAGATTCGTTTATTTTCTATGCGCAACTTACTCGGCACATAATTTATGTACATCCGTATATATTTGGTATCAAAGCATATACTTAGTATATATGTGCATAAGTATGTATGTATGTTTATTAAAATTTATGTACATATGTATTTCATTATGATTCCATAAAATCATTAAAAATATAAAAGATAAAGTTTGTATTATTATCCMCATGTTCTCATACGTAGAATTATGTGTGCATGTAAACAAATATGACAGACCATACGCATAATGTTTGCA